AAGAAGAGGGAACTAGAGAGCGTGTGGCGTTCGGATCCGAGCGAGTCAAATCGAACACGGTTTGTGTCCTTTTTAAGGGCATATGCCGCGGCAATAAAAGCCGCAAAGAAAACTTTCTTTGCGGCCACTATTGCGTCTGCAAAGAACCGTCCGGCTGAGTTGTTCCGGATTGTCAGAGGCCTTTTAAATCCCACCACCCTTGGTGGGAGCCCTGACAACTCGGCATCTCGCTGCGAAGCTTTTGCTCGGTTCTTTGCAGACAAAGTCGCCTTGATCCGTTCTGGGCTGGACGCCGCGTTAAATGCAGTCTCTGAGGATGTAACAAGAGCACCTGCTTGTCCTATTTTGATGGATTCTTTTCAGTTTGTGAAACCCGAGGATGTGGACAAGATACTTGGAGGAATGAGACCCACCACGTCCATCCTAGACCCCTGCCCATCCTGGCTTCTGAAGGAGGCCAGAGGGGGATTGGCCGAGTGGGTAACGGTGGTGGTTAATGCCTCCCTTAGGGAAGGCAAGATTCCAGCGTGCTTAAAACAAGCAGTGATAAAACCGCTGTTGAAGAAACCATCATTGGACCCCACTAAATTTGACAACTTTCGGCCTGTTTCCAATCTCCCCTTTTTGGGCAAAGTCATGGAAAGCGTGGTGGCCTCACAACTCCAGGTATTCTTGAGAGACACGGATTATCTGGATTCGGCACAGTCTGGTTTCAGACCGGGACATGGAACCGAGACGGTCTTGGTCGCCTTAGTGGATGATCTGCGCCGGGAGCTAGACAGGGGGAGTGTGTCCCTGTTGGTGCTCCTGGACCTCTCAGCGGCCTTCGATACCGTCGACCACGGTATTCTTCTGGGCGCCTTGCAGAGATGGGTCTCGGGGGCACGCTGCAGTGGCTCCGATCATTTCTGGAGGGTCGTACCCAGAAGGTGTTATGGGGGGACTCCTGTTCAGCGCCACGGCCGTTGACCTGTGGCGTTCCTCAGGGTTCCATCTTGTCCCCCCTGCTGTTTAACATCTACATGAAGCCGCTGGGTGAGATCATCCGGAGTTTCGGGGTGCGGTGTCACCTGTACGCAGATGACGTCCAACTCTGTCACTCCTTTCCACCTGCTACTAAGGAGGCTGTCGAAGTCCTGAACCGGTGCCTGGCCGCTGTAATGGTCTGGATGAGGGCGAACAAACTGAAATTAAATCCAGACAAGACAGAGGTACTCCTGGTCAGTCGGAAGGCCGAGCAGGGTATAGGGTTACAGCCTGTGCTGGACGGGGTCGCTCCCCTTGAAGGCGCAGGTTCGTAGCTTGGGTGTGATCCTGGACTCATCGCTGAGCCTGGAACCCCAGGTCTCGGTGGTGACCAGGGGAGCATTTGCACAGCTTAGGCTTGTGCGCCAGCTGCGCCCGTATCTTGGGAAGCCGGACTTGGCCACGGTGGTACATGCTTTGGTCACATCCCGTCTCGACTACTGCAACGCTCTCTACGTGGGGCTGCCCTTGAAGACGGCCCGGAAGCTTCAGCTAGTCCAACGCGCGGCAGCCATGTTATTAACGGGAGCAGGACGCAGAGAGCGTACAACGCCCCTGCTGTCCCAGCTCCACTGGCTGCCGATCTGCTACCGGGCCCAATTTAAGGTGCTGGTGTTAGCCTACAAAGCCCTAAACGGTTCCGGCCCAAAATACCTTCAGACCGCATCTCGGCCTATGAGCCCACGAGGGCCTTGAGATCGTCTGGGGAGGCCCTTCTCTCGATCCCGCCTGCCTCGCAGGCACGTCTGGCGGGGACGAGAGAGAGGGCCTTCTCGGTGGTGGCCCCCCGGCTGTGGAACACCCTCCCGACTGAGGTTAGACAGGCGCCCTCTTTAATGGCCTTTCGTAGGAGCCTAAAAACTTGGCTCTGCGAGCAGGCCTTCAACTAGTGTATCTGTGGAAAGACGTTAGAACGGACTATGACTACGAATTAGGCTATGACCCCAGGACCAGACGAAGCGGATTTTTAGTATAAGTATATGTCGTAGTAGTAGTAGAGTGTTGTTGTACTGTCTTGACCCACTGTAAATTGTCTTTTCTATGTTTTTGTACACCGCCGCGAGTCGCCCATCGGGCTGAGAGCGGCGGTTAACAAGTGCAAGTAATAAAATAAATAATAAATAAACTACTGACTTTGCCCCGCCACCACTTCCTTTTATACACCTTTCCTGCCCATCTCCCCCTCTTCTCAGTTTTCTTATTAGAACGTGTTGCTTCACAAGTTTCAATACAAGGTTTCCAGCACCTTCTGCTGGCTTCAAAATGTCACAGAGAGAGAATTAATTCAGCCAGGATGATTGAGTCAGGATGTCACGGAGGGAATTTGTGATGTCTTCATGCCGTCAGAAATTGACTCCTGACACTTCCCCCTCCCTCCCGATGCCCCCCTCTCCTCACCTGAAGGACGTAGAAGGCAACGGCCAGGATGCCACACCAGCTGTGGAGGCTGTAGAGGTCCGGGAAGCCGTTCTTCTTGTGGTACTGGAAGACGGCCACCAGCCCTGCCAGGTGAAATGCACGGGGGTAGAAGAAAGAGGGGTCCCCTCTCCCCTCCTCACATGAGAGCCCCCCCGCTGTGTCCCCCGGGACTCACCCACCAGCGCCACGAGGAGGGCCAGCCCATGGAGGAGGCCATGGAGAACCTTGGTGGCCCGCTTGCTCTCAGTCCTGAAGACGCGGTAGACCAGGAGGGCTGCAAGGCAGTGCGGGGGGAATGTTTCAGGGGGGAGGAAGGCAAGGGCAGCAAAGCCCCCCCCCCCATCCATGCCTTCTCCGCCAGGCAGAAGGGACCCCGGCAGCAGCAGCAGTACCCAGAGAGAGGGGGAGGGGAAGGACGACCCCACATGAGATAGGTACAAGCTGGCTTGGTCTCCTCCTGGATCCCTCCCACCCACCCCATCAATGCTCACCGTCCCCCTGAAGGAAGACCATCCCGAGGATCATGCAGAGCGGGTGGACGTTGAACTGGAGCTGGGGGCTCTCCCAGGCCAGGCCCCCTCGGAAGTGCCCCATCCAGGCCCCCACCACGGCCAGGACCGCCACGCCCAGCAGTTGTGAAGCCCCCACGGCATAGCTGAGCCCCACGGGGCGGGGGCCGGCAGTGGACGGTGAACCCTCCATCTCCGCTCAGAGCGGCACCGGCCGAAGGGTCTCAGGCTGCTGGGAAAGAATAACTTGATTTGTCATGGTGCTCTTTCACAATGAAATTACATGCCTTTCCCTGCAAACACCACAAAACAACACACGCATCCCTTCCCACCCCCACCCCCACCACACAGCACCCAATGCCACATCAGTGTGAAACCATGGAGTTCAGCATAGACACAGCTCTAGGATAAAAGCTACCCTTTAAGTCTGTTTGTCCTTGTCCTTGTCACCCTGTAGTGTCTGCCAGATGGCAATAATTCAAAAAAGACTATGAAGGGTATATCTTGCAGGATGATGGGTGTTCTATCACGAGCTGGGCCTGTAAAGAATTGCCTCTAAAATAGGACGTGCAACTTGAGCCCAGCGGGAATCCAGGGACCCCGAAGAGAAGTTCTCAAGGATTTTCCACCACAAATGGTCTTTAGATGGCTTGTGAAGTATAACAAAGTCCTTTATTAATGAACAATCAAACAGAAACTTCTCTTGTCTTCAGTAAAGTTAAACAAATGCTTCCAGGCCTTTATGCAACTGGTGGCTTCCTAATCTTGTCCACGTCAATAAAGTTAAACAAATGCTTCCAGGCTTTTATGCAACTGGTGGCTTCCTAATCTTGTCCACGAGGGACAGGCAATTGTCTTCAATAACTGTTTCTTTACTTAAGGAAAATCCCTTTTTAACTTCTCCCAGGCTGACTGTAATCTAAGCCTTACTGATGTGGGCTCCGCTACCGGGTCGAACTGCGTCTCGAGCACCGAGTGGACCTACCAGTAAGGCCAGTAGATTCTCCAGCTGGAGTTCTTTGGTCTTCCAAACTGTTTACCCTCTGAAATTCCTCAAAGCTTTAGGGCTGCTTCCCTGGAAATCTTTGGAGATCTTTGGATGCTCTTAAGACTGTTCTCCCCCCGGAAAGTCTTAAGGGTTGAAGCTTTTGTACAGGGGAAGCTGGCACACGTCCTCTGCATTAGTTTTCCTTACTGAGACTAACTAAAAATGGCTCCCTTCCCTTCCCAATTGCCCTGAACAAGGGGCAGAACCAAAACTTAACGATGATGGACAGGTGACTTGCCTTACGACTGCAACCAGAGGAAGCCACCTTTCTGCAGAATCCCTGAAACCTTGGACTGCAAGCAAACATTTAATACAAAGCAAATAAAGTTGGAGCTCCTCCGTACCAGCACAATGGGAGTTATAGTCTAGTGAGCTCCCATCACTAGTATATCTTGCTGGATGATGGGAGTTACTATCTAGCACAGGCCTGGGCAAACTTTGACCTTCCAGGTGTTTTGGACTGCCAGGTGGCAATAATTCAAATAATAATGATACTAATTCAAGAAAAGAAAGAATGCAGGCTGGACCCCTCCCCTCTCCGCCCCGTGGCCCCTCAGATCCCGGCCCTGCCCTGCCCAAGCCGTGCTCCATTCCCTTCCCAGGGTGCCAGGCTTGGGCTGTGCCCATAGAAAGGGGTTTGAAAGACATGAGTTTCCACAATCTCCTTTAGTAACAACAAAATATGTGAAGGAGAGAAATGGAGAATATAAACACACTCCCCCCCCCCCACCACCACCACTACCACTCCACCCCTCCTGGATTCTCACACAGTTGCAGACCAACAGCCAGATCTAGGGAAAGGTCTTCCCTCGCAGCTTGTGCACCACAACCTGACCCATGGAGAGGCCTCCTGGGCTCTGCCTGAACCACCACTTGGGCTCAAAGGCTGGGAGAAGGCCAGGGGGTCAGGGGGGGGGGTGGGACATGATGCACCCCTGCTCAGAGGCCCCGTGTGGTGCCCATGGGATTTCAGGGAAAAGGAGGGAGTGGGGTGAAACAGGAACTGGGGGGATAGGCAGGGGGGCTTTTACCACAGAGAAGTCAACAAAGCCTTTGGGGTACCCCCCCCCTCTCCTGACAGCAGAAAAGCCCCTCCCTCATCTGCCCACCCACTTGCTGGGCACCCTGACTAATCTGTGGGCAAGATGAGGTGAGCTTTGGCTGGTTGCCAGTGAGGGAGGCGTGTGTGACTTGGGGGTGGGGGGCTGCACTCTTAATGGGAGGCCCCAAGGCCCTCGGGGGCTCCTGACCAGAGAGGCCGCCTTGATTCAATCAGATTTGATCTGAGCAGAGCGCAGCTAACTGGATTACCTGGAAGAAGGCAATTGGGTTACTGTCTCCCTGGAAGGGCCCTCAGGACACAGATGTGCCCCAGAAGCACCGGCCAGCCTCCCAGGAGACCGTTCCCAGCAGCAATCACGCCACCTAACACGATTTCGGTTCCCGGGTTCTAAATGTCACTTCCTAATTGGCTCCATCATTAAAACCTGGGGAAAGGTTGATTCAACGGCAAGAGCTCTGCGTGGGAGCCGGGAGGGGCCTCATCCGGAAGGAACAGGGCCCGCACACGTTGCTCCAGCGCTTCCAGGGACATCTCCAGAGCCTCAAGCAAGCCCACCGAGTTTGTGTCATCCACAAAAGCAACGCTTCTGGAGCAGAGAAACGACTTCCAGAGTCAGTCCCTCACAGGATCCTAGAACGCTGGAGCTGGAAGTGACCGGGTGGGCCACCATCCAGCCCCGCCCCATTCTGCCAATGTTGGGTAGACGTACCTCCTTCTACGTCCCACCTCGGAGTTTAAGATCTGCTGGGGAGGCCCTGCTCTCGGACCCACCTTTATCACAAGCGAGACTGGTGGGGACGAGGGACAGGGCCTTCTCGGTGGTGGCCCCTCACCTGTGGAATGCACTCCCGCAGGAGATTAGGTCATCAACATCCCTCCTTGCTTTCAGAAGGAAGCTAAAAACCTGGATGTGGGGCCTTCGAGTAAGCTGGCAGATGGACAAACCAGAGTAGGAAAGGACAATGACGATGCTGGATGGATTACGGATTATGAATTGATGAACATTGACCACAGAATGATTCTATTGCTGCTAGTATACTGTTTGATTGTTTTAATTAGTTATAACTGTTGACATTATATGGTAAATTTGTGTATTGTTTATTGTATATTGTACTGCATTTTGTGAATTGCTAGGCATCGAATTGTGCCTTTTGTAAGCCGCCCTGAGTCCCCCCCCCGGTTGAGAAGGGCGGGATAGAAGCACTCCATGTATATAGAATCATAGAATCATAGAGTTGGGAGAGACCTCGTGGGCCATCCAGTCCAACCCCCTGCCAAGAAGCAGGAATATTGCATTCAAATCACCCCTGACAGATGGCCATCCAGCCTCTGTTTAAAAGCTTCCAAAGAAGGAGCCTCCACCACACTCCGGGGCAGAGAATTCCACTGCTGAACGGCTCTCACAGTCAGGAAGTTCTTCCTCATGTTCAGATGGAATCTCCTCTCTTGTAGTTTGAAGCCATTGTTCCGCGTCCTAGTCTCCAAGGAAGCAGAAAACAAGCTTGCTCCCTCCTCCCTGTGGCTTCCTCTCACATATTTATACATGGCTATCATATCTCCTCTCAGCCTTCTCTTCTTCAGGCTAAACAGGCCCAGCTCCTTAAGCCGCTCCTCATAGGGCTTGTTCTCCAGACCCTTGATCATTTTAGTCGCCCTCCTCTGGACACATTCCAGCTTGTCAATATCTCTCTTGAATTGTGGTGCCCAGAATTGGACACAATATTCCAGATGTGGTCTAACCAAAGCAGAATAGAGCATGGGGAGCATGACTTCCCTAGATCTAGACACTAGGCTCCTCTTGATGCAGGCCAAAATCCCATTGGCTTTTTTTGCCGCCACATCACATTCCTGGCTCATGTTCCCCTTCTTCCTCCCCACGAGGACTCCAAGATCTTTTTCACACGTACCTGCTCTTGAGCCAGGCCTCGTCCCCCATTCTGCTCTCGAGCCAGGCATCCCCCATTTTGTATCTTTGCATTTGTCACTGTTGAACTTCATTTTGTTAGTTTTGGCCCATCTCTCTAATCTGTCAAGATCGTTTTGAATGAGTAGATGCAATCTCACACACATTCCTGTTTGTGCCATGCTGTAATGTGACCTCCTCAAATTCCAAAGTTTATTGCACCTGATTTAAATATGCATGCAAGCTAATGAGTTATCCACCATCTAAGAAGGTGTTTGTGTCACCTCGCATCTGACCACATGTTTGGAAGGGTATATAAAGGGAGGGGGGTGTCCCTTTGTTCCCCCCATTTGCCCATTTGCTCTTTTTGCTCTACTTTGCTCTGTTTTGCTGCTTTTTGGGATGTACCTGTTTGGAGGAGAGAGGCCTGCTTACCATCTTTCAGGCCCAACTCATTGCTCTGAATGTAACCGAAAGATCTGTTACCTGTATGAGATTTGCATCATGCAAGCTTTCCTTAGTAAGTAAATTCTTTGATCTTTAACTCTGTGTCTGAATAGTTATTTGCATGCGTATTACCTAAAATCAGTGTTTCTCAACCTGGGGGTCGGGACCCCTGAGGGGGTCGCGAGGGGGTGTCAGAGGGGTCGCCAAAGACCATCAGAAAACACAGTATTTTCTGATGGTCATGGGGATTCCATATGGGAAGTTTGAGCCAATTCTATCGTTGGTGGAGTTCAGAACGTTCTTTGATTGTAATGAACTATAAATCCCAGCAACTACAACTCCCAAAAGTCATAGAATCATAGAATCATAGAATCCTAGAGTTGGAAGGGACCTCCTGGGCTATCATCCAGTCCAACCCCATTCTGCCAAGAAGCAGGAATATTGCATTCAAATCACCCCTGACAGATGGCCATCCAGCCTCTGTTTCAAAGCCTCCAAAGAAGGAGCCTCCGCCACACTCCGGGGCAGAGAGTTCCACTGCTGAACGGCTCTCACAGTCAGGAAGTTCTTCCTCATGTTCAGATGGAATCTCCTTTCTTGTAGTTTGAAGCCATTGTTCCACCTCGTCCTAGTCTCCAAGGAAGCAGAAAACAAGCTTGCTCCCTCCTCCTCCTCCCTGTGGCTTCCTTTCACATATTTATACATGGCCCTTATCACATCTCCTCTCAGCCTTCTCTTCTTCAGGCTAAACATGCCCAGCTCCTTAAGCCACTCCTCATAGGGCTTGTTCTCCTGATCCTTTGAGTCGCCCTCCTCTGGACACATTC